TATAATAAAATCTGCTGAATTGTGCCGTTGAAATGGGTGAGTATAACAGGATGTGAATTATAGCTCAATAAAGAAAGCTCCATTACAAAAACATGGGATGTAGGATGCGGGCTTACATAGCTTGGGTTCAAATCCCGACCACTTACTACATGGACAACCTTAAGCAAGTCCCTTAACCTCCTTTTGCATGAATTCGTTCATTTGCTCACCTGCAAAATGAAGACAATTAAAGCACCTGTTTTGTCAGGTTAGCGTGGGGATTAAATGAGTTAATACACAGCCTGACAACAGTAGGCAGCTGCTCTTCCTAGTTCAGGGGAGCAAACCTTTGCTGGGCACGGTGGACATGAGAGCCCCGAGAGGTTAAGTGACTGGCCCACTGCAGGCTGAAGGATACCCCCCACCCCAAATATATGTCCAAGTCCTCATCCCTGGACCCTCTGCCTGTGACCTTATTTGGAAAGAGGGTCATTGTGGATGTGATTAAGCTAAGGATCTCAAGATCATTCTGGATTACACGCCGGCCTGAAACCCAATGGCAAGTGCTCTTGCAAAAGACACACAGAGGACAAGACAGACACGGGGTGAGGGGGGGGGGAGGCCTTGTGAAGACAGAGGCAGAGGTTGGAGGGACGCAGCCACAGCCCAAGGGACGCCTGGAGCCACTAGAAGCTGGAAAAGGCGGGAACGATTCTCCCTGGAGCCTTCGGAGGGAGCCTGGCCCTGACGACACCTTGAATTCAGACTCCAGCCCCCAAAACGGTGAGGACACATTTCTGGCAGTTGTTACTGCAGCGTTAGGAAACTTGTACAGCCACTCAGCCCGAAGTGCCAGAGCCGGGACTCCTGACTCCAACCGTCACTTGGGACCCTTCACTGCATTTATCTGTGAATAAAGAACAGCCTCGACCCAGATACCAGGACGTTTCTGGAAGTGGGTTCTGTGGTCCCTTTTTACAGGCAAGGACACTGAGGCCCTGTGGTCACTTGCCCATGTCACACACCCGTCAGTGTGGGGGCAGGCAGACTGGGAAGTGTGAGCTTGGCTGTCACCTCCAGCCACACCACTCACTAGATTTACCAGCCTCTGCCTGGACAGTATTTAATTTGCCTTTTACAATGCATCAACTGCAAGTTCATTAATGGGCAATTGAAAGTTATAGGTGACATTAGAATTTATTAATAACATTGGAAGTAAATCTTCCTGGAATTCAAGTAATTGAAAATCTTGTGAAATTCTCTTTTTTATAATCCATAAAGCAGGTCTGGAAGAGAGGTGTTCCAGAAACCTCGGGGGCGGTTGGGATCGCAGGTATGGGAAGTCGGGGTGGGGAGGGGCTTCTGTTCTGACTTAGGCCCTTCTTGGATGCCCGCCTGCCCCTTTCCCCCCCCCCCTCTGGGAGTCTGGGAAGGGAGTCTCCTACGGGGACTGTCCTGTGACACTGCAGTGATCAGAGCTGGATGCTGGGGTTGCAGATGGGACCCTGCCCTTAAGATCACAGCCAAGTGGGGAGACAGGGCTGTGAAGGCGCCTTTTTGATTCTGGGGTGATGGCTGGCATACCCTGGTGGCACCTGGAATGCCTCCAGCCAGGGCCAGGCAGCTCCTGTCCATGCAGGACAGCCTCTCATGGGGCTCTGGGACACACCAAACTCAGGGTGAGAAGAATGAGTCCCCAAAGCGCCCTTCCTGCTCATCCTGGAGTGGGCCAGCCTCACCCAGGGCATGCTGGGAGGGGAGATGCTTGGAGGTGGCTGCGGAGCCCAGGGGGTTAGGTGTCTGATTAACTTCCAGAAACACCTCCATTCCTTCCTGGTCCCCAGAAACAAGTCACGCCGTGTTTTCTTGAGTTTCAGTCCCAGAAATGTGGGGTCCTACTGGAATGCCCAAGAGGAACCCCACCTGGACTGTCGGGGCTTCCAGCCCACTTCTGAGTTTTTGACCAAGGCCCTCCAGCCCCTCTACTGGGAGGTCCTACTGGGAGGACACCAAGGCAGCGCATTTGGTGTCCTGGGCAAGCAGAACAGTCTCTCTTAGGGCTCCATTCTGACCAGGGGTCTGGGAGATTGCGAGAAGCGGTTCTCAACCTGTGGGTCGAGACCCCTTTGGCGGTCGAACGACCCTTTCACAGGGGTCACCTAAGACCATCCTGCATATCAGATATTTACATTACGATTCATAACAGTAGCAACATTACAGTTATGAAGTAGCAACGAAAACAATTTTATGGTTGGGTCACAACATGAGGAACTGTATTTAAAGGGCCAGAAGGTTGAGAACCACTGGGCTAGAGGACTTAGCTTGTTAGATGGCGTTAGGTCTTGTGGGAGCCCTGGGGGGTGCTTGGGGCAGGACGGGGGGCGGGGAGGGGAAGTGTCCAGCGAGCTGAGATTGTGACCTACAGAGAAAGGGGCCCAGCCACCTGGGAGAAGCACTACCCGACCCACCCTTTCCTCCTGCACCCCTGCATGCAGCTCTGTGTACACCTTGCCCAATGCGTCACCAATGAGCCACCCTCTCCCTCCTCCAAACCTTTCCCCAGGCTGCCTGCCCTGCTGCAGAGCTCTCTCCTGTTTAGCTGACTCCTGCCGGTCCCTGAAGACCCCTTTTCCTCCATGCTCCCTCCTCATGCTCCCTAAATATTAGCTGCCTCCTCTGCTGTATTGATGTGACCCCATGGCCACTGCCTGTTGTGGGGAGCCGGCAAGGCCATGGCATACTCATGCCAGCTCAGCCTGGTTCAGTGACCCTGAGTGGGGGCGATGAAAGGCTTAGAAAAGATAGACAAGAGAATGAAAGCTGGGTCTTGGTAAGACGCTGATCTTCTGATGGACAGCGCCCGCGCCCACAAGCCGTGTCTTTATTTTATAGCAGATGCCATGAGGCAAAGTAAGGGCGTGGTCAAGTTGTTTACATCATTCTCGTGGGTTTCAATCCTACTCAACTACATGCACCTGAACTCTATCACTCAGGCACGTGGGGCCACGTGTTCGGACCACAGGTTCAAGCTTACAGCTATAGCTGTTGGCTATAATTGTGCTGGGAGGGCCCTGCCCTCCAAGCTGGGACTTGCACGTGGCAACGAGAGGACTGTGCCCTCTCCTCAGTCCCAGGCTTGAACCTGTCCAAACACTGTAGCCGTGCCCCATAGTCTGCCATATGTCACACTGGCCAGGATTCCCTGTCCTCACACCCAGTCACACAGTCACTAGTCACACAGTCACTAGATGCGCTTTCTGCAGCACCTGGGGCACCTGGGGGTCACCATGGCCAGGCGTGCCAGGCCCCCCTGTAGCCACAGCCACACAACATGAGACCCCCGGTGGGAAGAGCACCTTTATTGTCAGAGCGTCACAGACTTCCCGCCCACCTCTGACCCCCACCCCGCCCCCTCCACGAAGACAGGCCTGTGGGAGGCTGCACGATGGCTCCAGGGACAGCTCTGCCTCCGAGGGGCAGTCAGAGCCTCGAGGAGGAAGAGGTTACCAGGTGGGGAGCGGGCCGCAGCCTCCCAGGGGAGCTGGAGCGCTGGGCATGGGTCGCTCCTGCCACCAGGGGAGACGCGCTCGGGGTGGCGCCAGCACCAGTGGGTCTGAGTCGGCGGCCCTCGCATGAGAGTGGGTCCCGGCCCAGCAAAAGAGGAGCACCGAGCGGAGCACCGGGGAGGCCCGCTCACAGGGGACCCGGGCCTGCGAGGCCTTGAATGGCTTGAGGGCTGTGGTCTGAGCTGCTCTGTTTGGAGCAGCAGGGAGGAGGGTGGTGTGTGAGTGCCTGGGCCCCACCGCCCTGAGGTTCGGCACATCTCTCTGCAGACTGGACTCTGACAGCCCTCCCTTCTCTACTTCGTCAGAGACATTAGACTTGTCATGTGATG